GCTCATCCAGAATTTCACTGAGACTGGACGGCCCCCGCTGGACCATACTGGATACGTAGGCACAGAGACCATCTCCAATAACAAAGAAGAAAAGGAAACACCTGAGTCCTGGCTCTGGGAATCTAAGGCCAATTACCGTAAACTTTGCAAAACTAGACCAAAGGTAAAAACCCCATCTCCCCACCCGGAGTAACAAAGGAACAAAGGCTACTCTCCTGTAGCCCTCCCATTTCCACCACGTCTCAGATGGAAAGAGAGAGAGCCCAGGAGTGGCCACGGCCAAGCACCGGCCACCCCTCCATCTGCATAGGGCACCCATCTGCTCTGGCCTCAGGCCAATTCACCTCAGCATTTCATCGGCCAAGGGCCAGATCCTTCATCCAGATAAGGGGTAGCCCATAGGGACCTCAAAAGAAATATTTTAATCCCCCAAAACGTTGTAAACGGTGCCCTGGAGACGCTCGCTCGGGCTCACTCCCACCGTGTGGAGTGCTTTCCTGACCCCCGGCACTGGGGCTGCAGAGCTGCGCTCCAGGGGCCGAGGAGAGCGAGACTAGGGGGCGCTCTGGAGCAGGGCGAGAATCCAGCTCGCGGGTGAGGACTTGAAACAGCGCGAGGCGGGAGGACGAGTCAGGAACGGTTTTGCAAAGGAAAGTTTCGCGACAGGAGGTGTCTGCACGGCCCCACTGCAGAAAGACCGGGGACGGGACCAGCCTCAGGGCGACTGTAAACTCAAAAGGAGGCGACTCACCGACTCTCACCCGGACGTCTCAATTTGCTCTGGGTTGAGAAACAGGAGTCGGTCTGTGGGGACCCCACGTCGCGGGTATAGCAGCGCCAAGAGAACTGGGAAGCGCAGACGCGATGGTTCAACCTTCAGACGACGCCATCCGCTTCCGGGTCTGTGCCAATCAGCGCAGGACCGAAGCCAAACCTGGGCTAGTCCCGCGAAGAGGTGGGCGGGGCCTGGGCGAGGCCGCGAAGGGACGCGAGGAGGTGGGCGGGGCACAAATAGACTGAGGCTTGACTTCACGGAGGAGACCGTTAGCAATGTGGATGCTGAAAGTACAAGCAGAAGAAGGAAGCTTCACAGAACTTAGTGTGAAGAAACAAAAGAGAAAACCTCCTCTCCCCTGGCAGCCCCCATGCTCGCCTCGTCTACACCCCTGCATTTCCCTCAGGCTGCCTGGGATCATGCGGTACAGCCGGCTAGAGCGTAACTTCTGGATCAGGGAAACTGTTTGTACAGCAAATTGGGTGGCCGGACTTGAAGAGGTGGCTCTCACGTAACGTATATTTAAAAATCACCAGACTAAAGCACGCTGGAGGAGTTCAACCTGAGTTTCCAGATCACTCTTTATATCTTCATGGCTTCCAGCCACCATCCACGAGGCAGCCTGGAGGCTTCCACCCACTGCGTTTTAGGGACCAGGTCCTGGGGAGACAGGGACGCTCTCCTGAGACTGAAATCCCACCCTTGGAGCCTTCTGATCTTTCTGGATTCAGGAGGGTTTCTTCCCAAGGTGAAAAGGGGAGGAGGCGGGTTAGGGAAGCATTGTCTTCACCCTCTCCCTCCTTCACCTCTCCCTCCAGTGTTTCCTAACCTCCACACCATGTTTGACTTAACCACACAGGGTCTGCCCACCCCTATATCCAGCCTCACACGGGACTTAGAGCATGACTTTCTCCAAGGGTGGGACCCAGCCAGGAGCAGTGGTTGAAACTCACCAGGAGATTCCAATGTGCAACCAAATTGAGAGTCAGTTTATTTTCGTGCTTATCCCACTTTAACCCACCTGTGAAACACCTGGGGTTGTTATTCAGCTGCAGATACTGATTCAGCAGGGGCAGCCTGTGCCTGAGGGTCTGTGTTTCTCAGAAGCTACAGGTCTGTGGGTGATACTCTGGGCACCCAGTCCTCTTTGCTCAAGTAAATGAAACGTGATGATTGAAATGCAAGGAAATTGGCCTGAGGTGAAAAGGAAAACTCAAAACACCTGTAAGACATGTCATGGTTCAACGAATTTTATTCATATGGAAAGAAATTAACCAAACAGAATTTTACAATGACTTTTAATAACAAAAGTTCCAAGGCTAGTAGAATACATCCTTAGAAGTGAAATTCATTTAAAAACTTGAAGTTACTCTATTGACTACTTGTGGCATAATAATAATAATAGTAAGATACATTTTATCGTGTGCCACTCGTGATATGCTTTGCATAAGTTATTGAATCCACTGAATCACTCCAACATTGAGAATATTGGTACCTCAACTTCACACGTGCACTAGCTGAGATGCCCTCCCTATCACAGTGGAAATCAGAGTCTAGGTAGCTTCATAAAACAAATGGAGTATTTCTCTTGTCTGATATCCTGGAAAAATGTATACGGTATAAAAAAGAACAGTTTCTTAAATGTTTGAATTCACTGGTTAAAAAAACCCACATTCTTCCAAGAAAAACAAATTCCCCATTTTTCCAAGGCTAAGTGTTTCTCACTACAACTCTCCTTCACAGTCAAATATTCTTAAGTCAGTAGATACTGAGGTTTTCCACTACCGTCGAAGGGCCCTTTGCCCAGAATTACTCAAATTTCAGTCGTTGGCTCCCTCCCTCAGATGAGTTTCAAAGCTTTCTATTGACACTAGTGGAACATTGTTTGCTTATGTTGACTCAGTTTCTCATATAATTATATGTAATTGAAAAAGAAAAGTATAGGACACTTTCATAAGCCCCATTTTAATGCAGGTTAAATTTCCATAATGTAAATAGGCAGGGTTTCTTGATCCCCGATGGTATCTGGGGTCCACGTTTGAACAGGCACTGCCGCCAGGGAAGTGCTGAGCCCGCACAGGGCTGCTTCCTGCCTCTCCGCTTCTCAGCCTTTCAGCCACTTCCAAGTCACATGCGCTTGAAGCCGGGTCTTCTTGTCTTGGGGGCCTCAGTCACTGTCACTGTCCTCAGAGGAGGAAGTGACCCGAAGGTCCTCATAGAGGACACTCCTTGAGACCTGGGGACACCGCCCCTCAGGTTCCCTTGAGACGTGAGGGCTCTGAGCAGAAGCAGAGTTCTCAGGAGGGTGGGATGTGGGAGGCGTTCTGAAGCTGGGGCTCTCCTGTCCCTCGTCCCCTCTCATGAAGGTGACACTGCCGGGCCTCCCTGGAACGTGAATGGGTGGTCCAGGCTGGAGGAGGGGGCAGCCCTGGGCTGGGCCCAGGAAAGGTGAGCTGGGTAGCGGCTGGAGGTTGACTCTGGGCTGCAGGGTTGCTGTCTTGGTGGCTGCTGTCTCTGTGGTCGGCTTGGGTGCCTGTCTGGATCCAAGTCCAGTTGCCGTGAAGGGAGGCTGGAGTGTCCGCACAGTGCCCACATCCGGGAACTGAGTTCTCAGTGCGGGGCTTGGGAAGGAACTGAGTCTTGCTTTCTTTGTGGGGTTCTGGACGGTCTGGGTGGGGACGGCGGCAGGCTGCTTTCCTGGCGTCTGGGTTCTGGAGTCCTGGCCACACTTTCGTCTGACTTGCTGTGGTCCGGGCTTTGCATCTGCATCGGGACGTTTGATTTCTGCCTGGGATTTAAGGCCGGGACCCAGCGCAGACGCCTTCATGGCAGGCTGGGGGGCACCGTGGGAGGACACGTCAGGCCTGTTGGCTGGCGGCCTGGCACTGAGAGTGCGGTTCTGGTGGGAGCTCTTCAGAACAGGGAGCAGGAAGGCAGTAATGTCCCCGCCATGTCCCTTGGTGGGTCCACAGGTGCTCAGTTCAGCTCGATCATTGTGACCCGAAGGGCAGAGTAATCTCATCCCAGGTATGTAGACAGGCGGTGGACCTGTGGACACAGGGCCCAGGGCAGATCTCTTCTTGGTGCCGTGGACAGGCAGAGGCACTGTAGGATGCTGCAGGAGAAAACACCCCACATGAGACAGCTCAGCAGTAGAATTTCCAAACTCTCTGAAGCAGGGAACTCACATGTGCAACCACATCACAACAGAAGCTGTGTGAATACGAGAAGCAAGCTAGGACAGGCTGACATGAGAAACAGAGGAGAATAACATGCACTGGGATTGCATCTAAATCAGGATCAAATATAGGGAAGACCCTACAAAAGAGATAGGACATAGGAAATTAAATGTCACAGAAAAGGATGTACACATGGTCACTGAATATATGCAGAATTGTCACTTCAGGAATAGTGTTGGGGAAAGATGGCCTACCATTCTGTTTGCTGTGACTATCACATATGAAAATTAAAACTGTCTTTATGTTGTCTGTTGTTAATATCAAGGGAATATCAATTCCCCCACACAACGTGGAGACTGGAAATGGCACAGCTCCTTTTGAAAGCAGATGTAAGAACATGTATAAAAATGAAGGAGACGCCTTATCTGCAGCCTGCACCCCGAAGACATCTGATCAGTCACTCCCCACGGGCACTGAAATGTGCCTAGCAGCATCTGCTGGCCAACTTGTAAATAAAGGCACAGAAACCAACTTTCAAACAAAGAAGCTGAGGCCGGGTGCGGTGGCTCACACCTGTAATCCCAGCACTTTGGGAGGCCGAGGTGGGTGGATCACAAGGTCAGGAGATGGAGACCATCCTGGCTAACATGGTGAAACCCCGTCTCTACTAAAAATACAAAAAATTAGCCGGGGGTGGTGGCTCGTGCCTGTAGTCCCAGCTACTGAGGCAGCAGAATGGCGTGAACCTGGGAGGTGGAACTTGCAGTCTTGCAGTGAGCCGAGATGGTGCCACTGCACTCCAGCCTGGGCGACCGAGTGAGACTCCGTCTCAAAAAAAAAAAGAAGAAGAAGAAGAAGCTGGAAACTGGAGTATGCGAAGCCCTCGGGTAGCGCAGTTCTCCTGCAGGGCAGCCCAGGTTTAAACATGATCCCCACCCGTGAGGGGCACAGAAGTGAAGGAATCAGGGGAGCCAGAGGAGAAACAGAGGAGGGGCCGGGGAATGCTCACCCGGAAGAAACCGGCTTCCACTGGCTCCTTCCAGGCTCCCTCTGTTTTCTCTTGGGGACTCCTGGGAAATGTCCGCGTCAGAGCTTTGCTCTGCTGCTGCTGGGGCCTGGGAAGAAATCACGTTCACTGTCCGGACCCGCCTGATCCTCCTGCCCGCACCAGTGACTGGGAACCAAGCGCCCTCCCGGAACCCAGCCCAGCCCTTGCTTTGGGTGAAGGAGACATTCAGGCCTCTATGAACTTTGCCAAGACAGCCCCTTCTCTCATCTCAGAGGTAGCCCCGCTTACAGGAAGCTCCCCCTACTTGCCCGGCCATGGCCCCAGGTCCCTAAGTTCATTCAGACCCTGGTGCTGCTCTGCCTACCACGGGCAACATCGCCAGGTCTCCCACAGCCCCTGCCCTCTAGAGACTCTCAGCGCTGGAAAAAGCTCGGAGAGTGGACCCCGGGAGGCAGCGGCCCCTGCCCACCTACATTTGGAGCTTTCCTGTGTGTGCCTAGAGAAGGCTACACAGAAAGAGTAGGAGAGACACCAGCTCCTGAGGCGCTGACCTCACGGCTAGTCCTTGACCCTGCAAAATCCTTACCTTGGACCTTGCTCCTCTTTTCTGTCATTCCTCATAAAGGGCCCTGGAGCCTGGGGTAGCTGGGGCTTTGCTGGTTGCAGGTTCTCCTTCTCCTTGTGTGAGCCCAGGGGCTGCAGAGGAAGGGCCCCACTCCACCTCTTAATGGGGCAGGTCTTGCTTCTGGCTGAGTGCCCAAAGGCCCCGCAGTTCTTGCATTTCACCTGCAGGTGGAGGAGGACACACAGCAGCCAGTCAACAGCAATCACAGGCACCTGCGAAGGTTCACGCACGACCTGGGGGTTGGAGATGGATTATTTTAGGAGGGGGACATAGGCCCACGGGCTGTTGGTTGCCAGGAAACTCAA